TACATATATATATATATATATATATATACACGTATATATACTTCTAAAAGTCGTGTATCATGCATAGGAACGTTGACGCCTGCAAGGCTCTGGTTTTGTCTTTACAAAAATTGATTGTAATATCTTTTCATAATTTTAAATAACCATATTTTTTTAACCAAAAATCTAAATTCATTCTGCAGGTAACAACATACTCACATCTGCTAATAGAAGAAGACTCAGAGGCACTTGCAGAATCTACTGAGCTAGATAATTCTCACATCAAGATGATCTCTCTACAGGAATTTCAACATGAGCAACAATTTTCTCATAAAGTACAGTAAGTACAGTACTGAATATAACTGTTTAATTTTCAATTTTATACAAAGAAGTATACATGTCTAACTGGAGTAATAAAGATTATTGTAATCATACATTACATACTACTTATACAGAGGTTGTGGAATGAATGGCAACAAAATCAGTAAAAATTAGGTCATAATTAAAAAAAACAGTTATACGCAGTAATCAAAGACCCAGAATGAGAACAGATAATCATAGTTTTTTCAATCAGTTTGGTGACAATTTACTTACTGTTGAATGAAAATATTATAAAATATATTAAATGACTTGTTATTATTTACACAGGAAATTCTTTGATGAAAATCGTGCAAGTGAGCGACTACTGCTGGTTCAGTGTGATGCTAGCAGTGACACCTCACACCTTTTATCCTGTGCCTCTTATCGAGTTCAAGATGAAAGAGAAAATGCATTGTCTGCTATGAAAGAAAGGATCAAGGAGTCAAAGCAAGACTATCCAATTGAAAGCAGAGCTCACGTTGTATTCATTATTCAGCTTCCTCGTGTTAACAGATGTTTCGATGGATTTCAAGGTACAGTATTTTATTGATTTAAAAATGTGTTTTTATAATAGTTTTTGTATCAAAATTCATTTATAGATATTATCAAAAAAATACCAGGGGTTCCCCTGCTTAAAAGCCTTGAGTGGACCAGTGTTGTTGAGATACTTGCTTTCTCATCGTAAAGGTTAAAAAAAATCAGATCTAAAAAAATTTTTCTCAACAAATAGCAAATCCAATTCCAGAACCTCATAATGAGAATTATAGAATCGCTTTCATTCTGTAAAGTTGCCAGCCACTTTACAGCCACTAAAAGAGGAATTTTGTTGCTTTTGCCATTTCAAATTTCAAGATGACGTTTTGTTCTCTAAAATACAAAGAAATTGTTGCAACTAGAAATAACAATAAATCTACAGTATACATAAGGGTTTAATTAGGCTATATACAATAATTACAAATTACTATCTAGTCTGTCTTTTGCGTTTCTGAATTCTGCATCACTCATCATGAGTCTCTCCTCTTTCAAGGTGGACTATGGGCTTCAGCACACATTGATGACCTTCAACCTCCCAAAGAGAACCGACCAGATGTATATGAGCTGATGGGTCAAATGATGAGTGATTTGTTTACGGTCTCGAAGAAAGGTAACCAAGAAGATATTCCAGAGAGAAGAGACCATGAAGCAGAAGTTGCACTGGACAACAATGAGAATTTGGGCCTTAAAACTCCTATGTCTGAAGGTATAAATATTCTGAAGAAGTATTATTCATTTATTCTTTCATTCAATGATTCACACATTAATTGTATATAAATCATTTATGTATTTAATCAGTAAATCCTTCATTAATCGGTGTTTGTTACATGTACTGTTCTTCCATGGTGCCCAGTAGGACTTCACCTAAGCTTGACATTTAATGATATATAATTCCTAGGTTAAAACTTTGTAAAATCTATAAGAAAAAAAATTGGTACACTCCTGGAGGGTTTTACAAATTTCATTTTTCTCTTACACTGATGTACAAGTCAAAAAACCTGACATAAATACATCAAGACCAACAAATTTCTGATTTCAGAACTCAGTAAATCAGACGATGAAGACAAAATGGAATGTGATTCTCATGATGAAGGAAGCATGGAACAATATTCTGATGATGAAGTAAGCATGGAACAATATTCTGATGATGAAGAAAGCATGGAAGGTGGTTCTGATGATGAAAGTAACAGTATGGAGGATAATTATGAAGATGCAGAAAGCATGGAGCATGATTCTGATGATCAAGATTCCACAGAAGACACGGACCAAGAAGATGTATGCAAAGAACATGTTGCAGTGAAGATGGAGAGCAACGAAGATAACACTGTAGTTGATTTCACAGCAGTTCTCTTGGACAGTATTCATCCAGCAACTGCAAGAATTAGTGACCCAAACAATCAGAGACATCGTTCAACTGAAAGGGTTCGTCTACTGGTAAATTTGTTGAAGAGAGGTTCTCCTCACCGAGGTATAACACATTTCTTGAATTTGGTTATATTTTGCCCTATGGTAACAAAGGGAAAAGTGGATATCTTATTTATAGATTTCATCAGCACCACTTTATCATGGTGGTGCTTTTATAGCAAAGGAGAATACAAAGAAAACTAGATCAGTCCCTCCATAGAGTGTATACTATACCTCCACCCTGTGCCTGAATAAAGTACCAATAATATGCAGGCCGTGTGTGAAAATGAGGTACCTCATAGGAATTTAAATGATAATAGTAATAATGAACCTCCAGAAGATAATGGAATCGCCCTCTGTATTATGATGACAGACAGCAGTGAATACATATACCTCCTTGGCGGAGGTAATAAATATGTTTAGACATGTATATAATGATAGTATTGTAATACATTAAAGTGAAACTGTTATGTGATATCTGTAGTTTAATATGATATATATTTTTGGCATATTAGTAATTGTGGATTAATATCAATATTTTTTTTCTCTGTAGAATTTCTGCGTTTGCTAAAGATTCTCATAATCAAGCTTGTCAAAGAGAAAGACAGCAGAGCGCATGAAGCATCTCAATGGTTGACACGAGAGGCACTTGACATCAAAGAGGTTCAAGAAAGTGGAACATTTAGGTGAGTCTTCTATGTAAGGTATATGCTGGTAAGGTGGTGTATGTATTGGTTGAAATACTTGAATAATAGTCTCCTTGAGTGCAGGAGGTTACAAAAATATTATTTTCACCAAAATAGCATCTTTTTATCCACATAGACAAGCCTGTTGGCAACGCTTAACAGCAACTGTAGCACCATTCCTGGCTGAAGTTATTGCCATCTGTGACATCAGCAACAATCTTAGTCTCCTTAATAGGCAAGAAGCTGACAACGCTTGGCTGCACAAACTTTGGTTGAGCATCTTTTCATCTGTAGATCTGATTGACATCAACTATGACATGTGCTTATCTCCTGTGGAGAAAGTTCCACGGTTTGAGGTACCGCTTCAAGAGAAAGGATATGGTGGCAAGTCATTCGAGGCTCTCTTTCCATTCTCATGGATTATAAAGGCAAAATTGGATGATATTTGGAAATTTGCCTCAGAAGCCAAAGGTTAGCCGGATTTTATGAAATATATAGTTTTAATACCGCTGGTGTTTTATTGTCATTTTAATAGTTATGTGAAAAACGAGGAATACTTCTTCCCCCAAGTCAGTCATTTTATATAAGCATTATTCATATCAGCAATTTGCACAGAAAATTTAATATTCAATGATAAATATTTTTTACTTATGAATTTGTAATGTTTTTTTCTTTTGGAAGTTGAAGTAGAGGCAACGCCAGATCAGCAGTTTTTGAAGAATGTTCAGGAATCTGAAGTTGGAAGGAAACTCCAGACAGCCATCACTATTGGTGGAGTTCAGAAGGTTGTCCAACTCTACTGTTCAGATTTCATCAGGATGACTTGCAAGATCTCCCAAGAAGATCAGCACAAGGTAGATAAATTATTTATTGACCAGCGGAGGGTCATCTCTCCAAAAATAGTTGATCTGGAACCCTATAATATCCTTGATAGAGTATATATTTAAACAAATCTAATATTTTTGTTGTTTCAACAGTTGATGTGTGACCATATAATAAATGCATCTTATTCAATTGTACGAGAACTGGGAGGTCAAGTTGACAGTGTGAACTCTGTTGCTGCTATACATTTAGCATTCAACAGATTTCAAGCAAGGTTTGAACATCTCTCACAACTTGTTAGTATCTGCCAAAATGTCTTGAATAAAAAACCAAAACCAGATGAAGAAGGATTAGATACAAAAGAAATGGTAAGACCAGTAACCAATGTGTTATTTCTATATTGAACTGGAATTTTTTTGAAGATGTAGGTAACTGATTACTTGTTTCTTTTTTTAAACATTGTAAAGACTGTTGATGTCACAAGTCTCAGATATATACTGGGAGAAAGTGATGGCAATGAGGGAAAAGATTTCAGGTCACAAGAAGGACAAAGAAACTGGCTGCACAAGATCAACACACTGTGTCCTGTAGTTCAAAGTATGATAGCATTGTATAAGAAAAAAAAAGACATTTTTGGACCAAACAGCCAGAGAATCCTAGAGGAGTGCAGGTAACAATAATCTCTTGTACCCAAAAACTGAAAGCTTCACTGATTAAATCTCAGATAAGAAAATATAATACATACACCAAGTATTGAAAGGCACGCAATTGTTTTTCATAAATTTTTATAAATTTTTATAATTTCAATATCAATTCTCATTTGGCAATGAGAAAATTAGACCCTGTGTTCTGTTTTACAAACAGATATTGTTAGTGTATTTTTTTCTGTGTTGTTTTACTGTTATTTATTTATGATCTGAAATGACCTGTAATAATATCAATGACAATTATCATGAATCGCCAATCTCTTTAGATGTTTGTGGTCGAGGATTACTGTGATGAAGCTGTTCTTTGAGCATGTCTGCTTGCAAAATGAAGAATTTGCTGATATTGTTTCACCTAAATGCAGGTTCCTCTGGCTGGTATGTACTTTGAACTTCAACATATACAGGCCTGCTTGTATAAAACAGATATTCCTTCTATAAAGATTTCATGGAAACGGTCTTGCTTCCTTGTGTATTATTTTTCACTCATTCAATCACATTTACAAAGTTAAATACAGTATTATATATAAGATCAACATCATATTCTTATTCTGAAAATGTTAAGTTATCTTGGCTAGGCCAGTACGTCATGCTCCACATCACACTTCACACAGCCAGACAGAGTAGGCCTTGTACCAGTGGTGGTCTATTTTCCTAGCTAAGTCTATGCCTACCATAAATAGAAACATCACAGCATTGTATTTCTTCTACAATATGAATACTGTATTTCCCATTAGTTGGTAATTCACTATTACATCTTTTTACAAATATTGGCCTATCATGCCGCTCATGTAGCTGGCAACCTGGAGTAGCTTAAAATCTCTATGAGTAGAGGCCTAGGCTGATATGGTAGCTAGCCTAAAAATCGGGAGTTCTAGCTACAATATAGGCTTAAAGAACCTAATGATAGGTTTCTGCATCATGTTAAAAAAATGACTGGAAATCGTAAAATCGCGAAAATAAAAAAGGATGCAAAATATCTCAAGTTGCAAATTCACTAAAATATAAGGCCGTGAAAAAAAGGGCTGTACCAGTGCTTCATAAATCAATATTTTACTGTGTCCAAAATAAAGATTATAATCTCTAATATTATTTTAAAATGTCTAGTATAAATATATTAGTATATTAGTATAATTATGGATTTATATTTCTAGACACTGAAAAAAACAGCTGACTTGAAGTTGAATACCTCTATCACGGGCTTAGTGAAAATCCTGAATGAAGTCAATAAGAAAGCTGGGAAAAAGTACTACAAGTAGGTATAAAGTTCTTTGAAATTTTTAGAAAGCAGAGAAGGTTGAATGGACATGATAACTATTATGAAAATATTTGAGTGAATTTGATGACTTTCTTGATGTTATGAACTTGCTTCCAGGAAAGCCTTTTATCTTGGGCGATCTTAATTTGCAGTTTTGACAACCCAACTTTAGTCTATAATGTTGCACAAGCTGTAACAACTCTTTCATCCCATGACTTCGTCCCAGTTGTTACAATTCCTACCCATGAGCATGTCAGACTTCTCAAGTTAGTAAAGTACATTTCAGTAGTCTTCAAATATTTGTAGTAAATATAAAATTTCCGTAGCACCTAATAATTTGTCTTGAGTGCAAAATATGTGTTGCTTAAATTACAGGTACAGGTTAATATTAACAGCTGTAGAATTTCAAAGAAAGAGGACAGGATGAAGATTTACAAGCCACTTTTTCTTAGTTTTTCACAATAATTTATCAGTAATCTGACAAGTATAGGTTGTCTAGGGACAATGTAACCAAAGATCTTGACCTTAGACCCATTCTTCCCAAACTACTGTATGGGTCGCGGCCCAAAAATGGGTCAGCAAACTTTTGTGTCAGGTCGCGAGCAGGTTTGCAAAAATAAAAAAAAGAAATTCAATTGATGTTCTCATTTTGAGACAGTTAATCAGGTCTGATGACTTAAAAACAGCATGCTTAGGTGAATCCACAATGAATATTCTGAAATTCATATGACTAGTATTATTTTTCTGTCGCCGTTTACCACAAAATAATTGTGTAAATCTAAGCTATCGACTGTTTAAAAACAATTTAAAGAAATAAGCTTAAAACAGAAAATGACTGTAAGTACCAATGATGGTGATAGCATTCTTATCATGTCAAATACATTACCATCATCTGCATCACTATTAGCATCATCTATATTATCAAACATTTGCATCATCTTATCTCCACTTACCCTTCTTCATTTGCTTTCTAAAATTCCCACTGTTGCATTATATATAAATAATTTTATAGTTAGTTATACTTGTTTTCTATAGAGTAATGTTAATTCTTAAAAGTCATGAACAAAATCCTGCCAGTTTTACAATTGTGAGATAATATTTTGCAGGAGTGGAATTCATCACTGTGGAATGTGTGACGAAGCCATTACAGATCCTGTTCTCCTGTCGTGTGAGGAAAAGCATGTTTTTTGCAAGGTGTGCATCGAGGGATACTTTCAAACAGAAGGTGCAAAGAGATGCCCAGAATGTAGACAGGACATTCCTCAATCATTTGAGTGTAAAGAACAGTCTGAAGTCAGGTGAGAAATTTGAAGTCGCTCACAACATTTAATATTGAATCTCGGTCATTTATTACATGGTTTTGAAGCTAAAAGCGTTGAAATGTATTTTCATAACCAAGTATTGCAGCTCTTGCATTGGAGGATCTTATTGTGATGATGGGTTTTGACAATTCTTTTGTGTGTTTTGTGACCTATAGTTCTGGAAGCATTGGCTCAAACTAAGTAAATTGTATGAAAGTAATAGAGGGACTAAACAGTTTTATCATATTTTTGTACAAAATATCAGATGAATGAAAGGCTTGAAAAATTGATAATGCTATCTAAGTCTCCTAAAATTAATAATCAACATTAATATCTTTCATCTTTGCTCCTCTGTTTTTCAGTGAGGTTGTTGCCCAGCACAATGCGTTCCGTCAATGTTGCAACTCGTTTTTCATGGAAGTTGTGTCCCAGCTTTGCTTTGCTGATGGAACCCCACCAAGTGAAGAGGTCATAAAGAGGTTGCTGGGATATGTGACAATAGATTCCAAAAAACAGAACAGACGTGTCACAAAGAAAGTTTCTCCTTTCCCGGAGGATTGTATCGATCCAAATCCTGTAGTCAGATCTTTCCTACTCCAGCTGTTGCTTCAGTCAAAGTGAGATCATTATGATATTACAATGATAGATGGTAGTGATGGTGGTCATGATGGTGATAATGGTGGTAATATTGGTGGTGGTGGTGGTGGTGGTGTTGGTTCTGGTAATGTTGGTGATAGTGGTAGTGGTCATAATAATGATTTTTGATTACAGTACCAACCCCTTAGCCCCATAATTTCATCATGTACTTAAATCATAAAGATCATGCTGATTAATTTGGAATAAAACTTATGTTGTAGTATTCCTTGCAAATCGAGAAAAACAATCCCGAACTATCTGATTATTTTAATATGCTTTACTAGTTTGGAAAGTGTAAAAGAGCATGTACAAGAGTATCTGAAAAACTCAAGAGATCTCATGGAAAGATCTGATGATGATGTTGTCAGCCTCTGCAGATTGTTTGTCAACTGTCTAGAAGTAAGTTATCCACACTCAGATTTAAGAGGTTTCTGTTACAGTCAATTACAGTGTATTCATTAAATTTGTAATGTTTGTAATATTTGAAATTGACATTCAGCAGCATCATCATCTGTCATTAACCTGTTAGTGGAGGTTTTTATCTCTGTTGGTTGAGAATTAAATAAATAAAATAAATATTTAAAAAATGTGAAACACAAATAACTAAAGTGATTGGCAAATTTGTCTTGAATCCCACATGTGTTTTTTAGCAATGCACTTTATCTATGCAACTTACATTATAGCTCACTGTCTATTGGAAAGAGTTACTTAAGCCATTAGTCTTGCATGCAATATGGTCCATGTGCCAAAAGGTCCCCACTGTAAATAAGACTTTAGACTTTTAAGAATAAACTTTAATTTACACTAAAAGAAATCCAGATTCACAGAATGAATTTATTTCCAGAGCAGTATCAATCAAAATCCTTTCAGCTCATAATCAGCCAGAATGCCCAAAAAGAGATAGCAATACCACCACAATTAACATCTCTCATCCTAAATTAGTAATTCAGCGAAGATTGAGTATTTTTGTTGTCTGACAAATTCTTTTCCAGGACACGTACTACTGTGGTTTTCCGCAAGACTGTGATGCAAAACTCATCCAATTACTCCTCGGCGATGCTCTTGGGAAACTTGAAAATGCTCTCCATTTTTTCAACGGACAAAATGCCACTGCAGACCCGTTAAGTGTTGAGTTACTTGAAGCAATATCGCAGAGTCGTTTTGCATTGACAATGCTCGCTGACATCATTCAACGCCAACAAGATCAACAAGTCTACAGTGCAATTACTATCAAGCGTCTTGTAAGTCAAACTTTAATATTGATTCTTACAATAGATACAGTATGTCTTTTTGAGAATACATAACAGGTTTACCTAGATTAAGGATAATAGCTCAAGAGACTGTATGCAAGCTTTCATTTGTGTGACTTTGAAAATTGTTTTTTGTAGTAGTTTACTCGAAATTTCTGATTATAGACAGATGAATGAATTACAGTATTTACAGTATATGAAACACTTTTTTACGATCATATTTTGTTGATAGGTTGCTATGTTGGCAAGGGAAGCTAGAAGATTCTGTGAGCAGAATAAACAGGCACAGTTGTATCTTGTGAAGTACATCTGCAAGGCTTACAGCAGAGATGCTTTAACCCGTCTGAAGGGTGATGAACAGTTTAGCTGGATCTTACCAGATGAGTTGAAAGTTCAGGTACGCTTTGCAAATCAAGGTCTATTTTGTGTATATGTACCTGGATAAACTGACTAATTGCCACTGTTCCTTTATGAACAACCCTATGACAAAAATAGAATCGTCTGACTGTCCTAGGGCGTAAAAGTCTCATGAGTTGATGTGTTACATCTCCGAAATACAACTTGACTTGTCTTTATATTTGACAACAATGCAGTGATACTGGCTTTTGTAGCCAAACTGCTAACACTCTCCTCCAAAGGACATTTTGTACATGCACCATTTTATCGGGTCTGTTTTAAAACAGAACCTCTTATGTCTCGCAACTTGGGACTTCCAGTGGCCTAGCCTGAGCAGCAGGCTAATTACAATTAGAGCACTGTGCAGTGGATAATGCAGCTAGAACTTTTGCAGCAGTAGACAACACATACAATCGTTTGCTAATTACTATATTTTTTGAAATTTAAATGGCTTTTCAAGACTTAGACTTGTTTTTAATATCAACATTCCGTGCTCATTAGTAATTTAGTTTTATCGTTTAATAAATCAATGATAGTAACTACATAGAGCGAAATGCTAGGCCTCTGGAAGTCACCCAGTGGTAGTTGCCAGTCTCTTGAAAATTTTCATTTCCTAAACTGGCGAAAATGCTGTTTAATGAAAATGATGAAAATATGGTGAAAATCACCTATTCAATTTATGATTATAAATTGTTCATCCTAAACAGGACCAGAACATTCCAGATAATTGTGTCATTGTTGGCGACATGTACATCAGCATTCGAGAAGCTATTGGTCAATGTATGGTTGACAAAGATTTTGAGAAGATGTTCAAAACTGTGACGGTACAACAACCTTTACCCTTTTTTATCTTTTTTCAAACATATATGTTCTAAAGCTTGGCATTTTTAGAATGCCAAGCATAGAACAGAATAGAATAGATGCTTGATGTTGTTTTGTGTGTTGATGGTTTGATGTAATGTAGTTAGACTTATAGTTTTTTATGCCAAAGTCTCAAAGAGCTCGTACAGTATTATTTGCTTCTTTCCGAAGGGTCTCTTCATGTATTAGCTACCCGGTAAACCGGTACTTGTCTGTCCAATACATTATATTTCCAATGTACATGAATTTTGGTTTTCCTCTTTAGGATGTGAAGGGACAGGAGAAGGACAAGGAAGTATGCTTCCTTCTTGCTTTATTCAGAGAGATTACAATGAATGCCACAACTACTGTAGAAGCCAAAAGAATAAGTTTGGAGGTAAGGCACAATGTCGAACTGTCTTGGATTTGAAGTCAAGATGCTGGAATGTAAAGTACAGTACCTTAGCCTCAATGAACTTAAACTCTGGATAGAGCGTTGTAGTTATATGCTTGATTTGCAATAGTAGTATTTTTTTTTTAATCTGTGATACAAAAAAATTTTAATTAGACATAAAAAATGCCAAAAAACATAAATTTGGCTAACATTTCTTAGATGGAGAGGCATGCCACACAGATCAAGGAGTGATTACATGGTAGTAACACAATTTGTGCACAAATTGTTTAGGATTTTCTTGACAGTATGACTAAAACAGATTCCCTCAACTATCGCTGCACAAGAGATATAAGCTAAAATGCAACCTAGAATTCAAAAATGTATGTCTTTGAATGCTCAGAGAAATATATGTGACACAATTACATTCTAGATCCTATTGTGATCGCTGTTTATGTAGTAAATGACCAGGGGAAATAATTAAGTGCTGTGATCTACAGTAGATGAATTAGGACTAAAAAAGGGGGGAAAAGCTGTATTGTTGCTGTTAGAATTATATAATGTATATTTGATTGTGTATGTTTTTTTTTTAATTTTTAGGTGAAAAGAGAATTTGGAAAAATTATCCAAAACATGCCATTCCTGAAAAATAAGGTGAGGGAAAGAAAAAATGATGTTACAGTTCTTAACTCAAAATGATCTAATTACAAATTATTCAACAATATGGGTAGGTTTCATATAACTCCTGCACACTCAAGATCTCTTCATTTTATGAGCTGTTAGATAGTATAGCCATTAATCACAAGTAATTTTATGGAAGTTTACACGTGTTATTTGTTAACCATTCAGGTTGTTGCAGACACATTGTTACAAAACAGAGGACAAAACCACCATGTTCTTAAGGTCACTCCTGGATTACACCTTCAAGACTACAGCATCCAGGCAGCTGTGACCCATCTTCAGATTGTTTTGAATGTAGTTGAACGGGAGTCGTTGACCCAGTGTCTGGCAATGTTGATGAGATCCCCAACTCAAATGCAGGTTAGAATTGCAATTGTTCTTTAAAATAAATAAACTCCTCTAGATATTATTATGACACTTGTTAAATATTTTATCAGCTTTGTGTTATTGTCTGATAATTATTTTATGTTCCAGCAAGCTTATTTACCAGCAATGCCACAAGATGACCGTATGGAAGCAAGGGCAGCTCTACATCAAGCGTCAAGAGATCAGAACTTAACTTGGTACCGTAAGTAAAATTTAAATCTTGCTTCAAAATTCCGACAGGTATGATGTTCTGGAGGTGACAATACAGTTACATGCAGTTTGTGGGGCCCTGGCGCTGACTGTTATTGGGGCCCCTGGTGGGAGTCCGAGGGGGCTATTGCGCTCAGAGCTTATGCCATTTTTGAATTGTTAACTGATTTAACATAGAACGGTCCATGAATGATAAAAAATTTCAGACAATTTTATGACAAAACCAACATAGATTACATAGGCCAACTTTAGGAACTTATAGGCCTACAGTAGGCCTATGTACTCTATGTAGGTGTAAGTAAATACAGGGAATATTTTAGTGAGAAACAAAACATGTTTTCATAATGTATATGCAATTCAAAGCAGATTCATCACAAAATTAGAATCAAATGTCAAACATCAGAACCCAACTTTTTGTTTAAAACTGTTGGGGCCTCATTGAATGAAACTATGGTATTACAGTTTATAATATATTTTTTAAAACTGCAATGTCAGGTCCCACCCCTCATCAGCGCCCGAGCGTGACACCACTGTGACGATATGCTTGTGAACAGATAACACTGTAGAAGAAAACGTGATGATTGATCAAAATATAAATATTACAGAAAATTAACTTCCATACTTGTTTTGTTAGCCGTCCTGTCTTGGGGACATCAGGCCATCATTGACTG